ATAATAAAAATTTTAAAAAAATTATTAATTTTTAATAAATTTAAGAATTTTAATTTTCTCTAATCTCTCCAGATTTCTACCTGATTTCAATTTTTTTAGCTATTCTCCAGGAATCAGCAATGGGGTTTATTGGGGGAGAAGGTAGAAAAACCCCTCAAAAAAATATGAAGATGAATCCACCGCTGTCGCTGGATGCAGATAAAAAACAAGAGTGAAAATAAGCTAAAAAAAAACCACCCCAAAAAGCAGGAATTTCTTGATTTAACAGCTCGTTAAATCACCTGGTGCTGAATAAATGTGATTTTAATTTACAGATTAATCAATCACAGAATTCTGTGGTGTGGGGGGGAAATGATGAAATGATAAAAACACATTGAAATGATCTAAATGAGAAAAACACGTCGCTCAGTTATTGGGAAGGTGGAAAACTTGAACGTGGGGTTTTGTGCTGGGAGAAATCTACACCAAAATGCATTAATTTGCTGTTAATTATCATTTATTTGCATCCCAGTGCAGCTCCAGCCCCTGAAAAATAAACCTTGGGGGTTATGAGGAGCCCCCCCTGCGTGCACTGTGATGAACCCACAGACCCTCCGCCCAAATCAGCCCAAGACTTTGGTTTTATTCCCTTTTCCAAAGCTCCAAACACTCTTTATTATTATTTTTTCCTGTGAATTTGCCTGAATTACCCATTCCTGACAGCCTGTGGGGTTCCATTTCCCTCTCAAATCATGTTAAACCCTCTTTATTCCCAGGTGGGGGTTTCCAGGAGTGTCTCTTTCCTCCCCACTCTGATTTATTCACCGGTTCCCCTTCTCCCCACCCTTCAGGGGATGTTCCAGCCCAGCCTCCAACGCTGACAGGATGTTTCTTACCCCAGGTTACGAGCTTCCCGGGTGCTGCTGGTGGGGATGAAAGGTCTTGGGGCAGAAGTAGCAAAAAATCTCATCTTGGCAGGAGTTAAAGGCTTGACCATGTTGGACCATCAGCAGGTGAGGAGCGTGGAGGTTTGGTTAGTCAAATTCTCAAATCCTCTTGGTGTGATATGGCTGAAGGGGCTCCAGGAAGGTGGGGAGGGACTTTTCATAAGGGCAGTTAATGACAAAACAAGGGGAAATGGGTTTAAACTGAAAGAGGGGAGGTTTAGATGAGATATTAGGAAGAAGTTCTTCACTGTGAGGGTGGTCAGACCCTGGAACAGGTTGGCCAGAGAAGCTGTGGCTGCTCCTCCCTGGAAGTCTTTGTGACCAGGTTGGATGAGGCTTTGAGCAACCTGGTCTAGTGGAAGGTGTCCCTGCTGCTGGCAGGGAGGTTGGAACTGGATGAGCTTTAAGTCCTTTCCCACCCCAAACCAGTCTGGGATTCGATGATCTGGAGTTTCTCACCCCGCAGCAAACGTCCCTGTCGCCTCCTGAATGTGTTTCTCACACGTACGTGACCTGTAGGTCACAGCACGACGTCTCCTTGGGCACAAGAGGGAGCTGCGAGCTCGAGAAGAGAAAGAAACTTGAAAAAAACCACAAAATAACCCGAGATTGTTTATTTCTTATTTATTTTAATTATTTTTTCCCTGCTCTGCTCATGAATTTTCCTGCGGCGACGATGTCACCGCGCCGCTGTCCCCTTTCCAGGTGTGAATAATAATTCTCTCCACTCTGAATCTATGGGGAAAACTCATCTCTCCTTTTATTTTCCTTTAATCCCTCATTTCCAGGTTTCCCAGGAGGACACACGAGCTCAATTCCTCATCCCTGTGGGTTCCTTGGGACGTAACAGAGCTGAAGCTTCCTTGGAACGGGCTCAAAACCTCAATCCCATGGTAGATGTCAAAGCTGATCCCGAGAACGTGGAGAGCAAACCTGAAGAGTTCTTCACCCAGTTCGACGCTGTACGTCTGGCGAGGGGGTAGGGGGAGGGGAAAAAGGTCAGAGGACAAGGGGTTTATTGACTTAATAATTAAATCTCCTGATTAATTAGTTTTTAATTGAGATTTTGTTAGCATCTCGAGCTGTGGGGTGTGAATTTTCAGGTGGAGCTGCCTGATTGTGTCTCTTCTTCTCGTCACATCCAGCAGCAGCTCCCTGATTATTTTATTTGATATCTATTTTGGGGGGTGTTTGATGAAGTTGATCATTTTACGAATGATACTGGATGTGATTTCCCAGTCCCCAAAATGATGAAAAAAAAAAAAATACAAACCCCACAGCAGCTCTGAAAGTGAAAAGAGGAGGAAAAACATCTGGATTTTGTAGCTTCTGCCTGATTTTGGGGCAGCAGGAGTTGTTGAGAGCAACAGAAAACACTGATTTTTTATTAATAAATAATAATTATTATTAATAACGTGGCCTTGCAGGGAGTTACCCCAGAGCAGACAACCCCTGAGTTTTCAAACTCTCCATATTTAGCTTTTTCCCCCCAATTCTCACCCCAAATGAGCAGGAAACAGGATGCCATATCCCCTAACCTCTTAATTATCCCCTGGAAACAAAAGCTGTTGGAATTCACCCCCGTGACAGGAGGTGAAAATGGATAATTACCCCCAAAAATTGCTCCCTGTTGTGAACAAAACAGCAAATTTACCCAGAACCTTCCTCCCTCCCCCAGGAAAATGGGGAAGATTTGGAAGATTTCACCCCCCCACACTAAATAACCCCCCGAGAAGAGGGAAAATGAGGATAAATATTGAAATTTCTACCTGTAGGTCTGTCTCATGGGGAAAATTTCACCCCCCCCACACTAAATAACCCCCTGAGAAGAGGGAAAATGAGGATAAATATTGAAGTTTCTACCTGTAGGTCTGTCTCACAGGGAAAATTTGGAAGATTTCACCCCCCCCCACTAAAAGATTTCACCCCCCCACACTAAATAACCCCCCGAGAAGAGGGAAAATGAGGATAAATATTGAAATTTCTACCTGTAGGTCTGTCTCATGGGGAAAATTTCACACCCCCCCCACTAAATAACCCCCCGAGAAGAGGAAAAATGAGGATAAATATTGAAATTTCTACCTGTAGGTCTGTCTCACCGGCTGCTCCCGGGACGTTATGGTGAAGATCGATCAGATTTGCCACAAGAACAGCATCAAATTCTTCACGGGTGATGTCTTTGGCTACCACGGTTACATGTTTGCTGACCTCGGGGAACATGAATTTGTAGAGTGAGTTGGGGATAAAAATCTCAAGGAGTTGGGTGGTGAGAAAAGCACCGGCCCCGTGTGGGTGTTTCACAGAATCACAGGATGTCAGGGA